AGGAATGTGGATTAGAAACAGCCCTGTTATACGAAATGAAACACATCGTTTCACTTGGTTAAAGTCTTGACTTTCAATAAACAAACAACTGCATTTTAGGAAAAGAAAGAACAATGACAAGCTAAACATAACAGCAGAATATGTCCAAAGGATGAAACATCACCTTGTTTCTCAACATGATCTTGTCATCCATGCCTGCAGCTCCTTTCACTAAGACTACCATAACTCTTTCCTCTGTGGCTGACCCAATTTCTGCTATTTTTGAATGCGCAGAAAGTTTCCCCCTTTAGCCTAGCTCAAGCACTCAAAGGAGTGAACATCACTCAAATCCTCAACCAACCACGCAGAACCCCATCTTCATTTCAAGATACAATTTGTATTTCTTCTCCATAGTCTTACTCAAGCTTACTCCATAATGTCACCTTTATCTTTAATTCTTCTTTCCTCCTTCCACTTACCTACTAATGACTTTTGGGGGGATTTTTGTACCTCCTCTCATCATTTCTGGTACAAGAAACTTCTGACTATCCGGACGTTTGGAATAACCTTTTTAAATTTTTCTGCCATGTTTATTTTGATTTTAAAAGGTATTAGGAAGATTTTCTTTTCCTCTCACGAGTTTAGCTTCTCTTTGGTTTAGCTGTTATTTATTATAACTTATCTTTGTAATGAAGCAAAGCAGTTTGTGTCATAACCACAAAGTGAAGTTTTACTGCGTGCTCCTCTCTCCTCCCCCACAAAGAATATCAGTACGTGTTTTAAATGAACAGTCAAAATTGAATCACAGGCAGCTCTGCACTACAAAGGACAATGATTCAATATAATTATGATTCAATATAATTCTAGATGCCTATTGAATTCTAATGTCTATGTGTCAGTACTCCAGTACTGATGTCTTTTATAAAGCAGTTTTCATTATTATATGTTGCTATTAAGACTACTATTAAAAAGGAAGCAAGGATTCCTCAGGTACATGTGTCTGTCTACTTTTTACACATAAAATGGCATTTGTTCTTTCTTATATGGCACATAGCTTTTCTGATCATTTGCACTGTATTGCTACTCAAATATAATAATATGTAATTGCATGTTAATTAGATCTGACAGGCTATCTACATGTGAATTCTTAACAACTGTCTTCCAAACACTGGCAGAACACCAGGTCAACCAGTGCCCCTTGAAGCCACCTTGGAGATAGGGTTTCCCCTAGGAAATAGGAGCAGAAGCATTAAAGTTGAAATTACTTTTTTAATTTAGTTGATCATAGTCTCCCATCATTATTGGGTTTTGCAACTGGCACTCTAACCAATGGTCAGAAGGGGTTGTGGACCATTGGTTTATAACACAGAGGTGTAGAGCATAAACAAGCAAGGCTCTTAGGTCTGCAATGAAAATAAAAGCAACAATCAGTCTTACCTATGCTGGTTTTGTGCTTTGGGAAGTACAGTCAGCTTTTCCCGTGACCTCTGTTTTATTTGACCCCAGATAAATAGGAGGAGTTCATTGCAGGCTGGGTTTTGTTCTCATCCAAAATGAAGGACATCTGGAGGTTTCTTCCTGAAGAAGGCTTCAGGCTTCGCAGCTATGAGTTGGAAGTATCTTATAAATAGCACTTCTAATCCCAAATTTGAGCTCCAGTTCAAATAAGATGCTTTCTAATGTTTTGCCATTTAACTAATTCATAGAAAAGTTGTTGAAAGTACTTTACTTTTACTTCATTGTTATATACATTTTCATATTTTGTACGTTAGAGTATTTTCTACATGATATTCTGAAGTAATTTTTTACCATAAAGTAGGGTAAAAATGGCTCCTTTTGCCTATCTTGGGTTATAAACCCTTCCTGGCAAGGACTGCTTCTTTGTACAGTTAATTTGTTCTAAGGACCAATCATCTCCATGGAGGCACCCAAGGTGTTGCTATAAGTACAAATTATATCTTGTTCTATATGCAGTAAATCGCTGACAAGAGAAGCTGAAGGTATCAAACAAATGCCATTGAGAGCTGCATTATGGCTGAAGAACCCAGAGAAGAGATTTTTGTCTGAAATGTACATTTGCTGACCTGCCTTGCCCGTTAGATTATATTGCAGTTTTGTCAGGAAGCAGCTTTCTTCTTTCTTTCTTTTTATTCTTATTCAATAGCAGGCTCACTGGAAGAACTCTTGCAGTTACTGTTCCTGGAGTTTAATTTATGCCTTTTGAAACAACTACAACTTGTGAAACTCTGTCACTGGGGGAAATCAGATTGAAATTTTCTCTTGAATAGTTGGATTATTATTGTAACCACTTAAAAGGTGACAGGATCTTCACCTCAGCCATTTTTTTTCCCTGAGAAGTGTTGAAAATGTCACCCAGTTAAACCCCAGATCAGAGCGTCATTTAAAAACATGTCTCATTAAACACTCAGCTTTTGTTATGACGCTGATGGATTGGTTGCTACTGAGGTTATGAAAAATGAAATGCATTACTTTTCTGAGGAGCTTTAACTATGTATTTTCCATTCTTATTTAGGACAGGAATGCCTGACACTTATTAAGTGGTTAGAATCTGGCCTACTGCTCACCTAATTCAAAGACTGAAGGGAATTCAAAGAGTGAAGGGGAAAAGATGAGTGTTGAAAATAGCTTTTCTTTTTTTCAACAAGTAGCATTTGTCATGCTTTGCAGACTTTTGAAGGCAACACCAACTATGACACACCTGAGCTGCGGACTTTTGAACCTGTATCGACGAGATTTATCCGTGTCTACCCTGAGAGAGCCACACATGGAGGACTGGGGCTGCGAATGGAGCTGCTGGGCTGTGAACTTGAAGGTAATTGCTCCGCTAGAGATGAATGCACTTTATTATTTTCATAAATACATTCTGTACTTGGACTACTGCTGAACACTGCTGTGTCTGTACAGGCAGCACATCGGACTCTCGCTTCCGTGACTGCCATTAGTGCTGTTTCTTGGTCTAATCAGTTCCTTCTCTGTAGACATTTGAATATGCCCAAGGCACAAATATTATTCTTTCTCCCATTCCTTTGTTGAATCACGGTGATATTCTCCACATGGTTTTCTGTTCCCTTAAGCATCCTTATGATTATACTTTCAAGAAGCATATTAGGAGAGAATAAAGACAGGAACTTATATTTTATGTTACCATGATACAGCCCTGGAAGAGATGTTTTCTGAGAATGCAGAAGGAGCTTTGCGCTGAATATAGCAGTTATGTCCCTTGCTCCTTCAAAGGACGTGAAAGTCACACCAGACACTATGGTGGGCAATGATTACTTGGCTGGACAAGTTCTGTGCTGTTCCTTTTGTGGGGCAGAAGGTTCCTCTTTGTTCCTTACCAAGCTTTAATTTTGGAAGAGTACATAGGAGATGAAAGACCAGGAAAAGCAAAGTTTAGACATTTATCCTTGGACTGTGACATGAAGTCAAGCTTTGATACTTGTCATATAAACAATAATTATTTAACTTCATAGATAACTACAGATAACACTACGTGAATTTCACAGTTTTATCTGATGGATGATGGTATAGTGACGTGGCTTATAAACCATGCAGCTTAACAATACACAGAATAACAAACCGTGTTATTCAGGGTTTCTGATGATACCTCATCTAGAAGTAGCTGAACAGGCTCCCAAGATGAATGGAACCGACTGCTCTGCCTCCATTTCTTTCTCACCATTTCTCCCCCAAGGCGGAAGAGTGGGAGGCATTTGCTGTGAGAACTGATGAGTTCTGTGTTGTTTTTAAGTGAAGGCCAGATTGAATAAGTGTGCTTTTTACTTGGCCCGGAAAGTGGGGAGGTTGGAAATACTTCTTAGTTCCTGAAGGAAGTCCTCATTTCCTGTGGGAGTACTTAGTTCCTGCAGACTATTGTGCTACTTGCTCAGAAAAAAGAAAACCCAGCACCTGCCTCATGTAAACTCACCACCTGTGTGCAAAGTCCTTTGGCCACAGGGCTACTGTAGCCACCTAGACATTAAGAAGCGAGTCCGTGGACCACCTTACAGGAGCACATTGCTCAGTGAGATGGAGGAGCCAAAAAGGAGACTCACCAGGCAAAATGTCTTTGCTTTTAGGCAAACTGCAGCAGCAAGTACAATTTTTCCCTGGGAAACATCTACTTGCATTCGTCTTTCTGCTATGATGTACTTTTGAAGGGTGCTCACCTGTAGGTCACCCATGGACAGGTGAGGTCAATTCCCATTTACCCATGAGAGAAGCATTATAAGAAAACTTTGTTGTATAGCTGTATCTCAAGGAGGGAGTTGAATGAAGAGAAGTCACTTGAGATTTACTGAGAAGGAAAGGAGTTGAGATGAGAAAAGAATATGGAGGTAGGCACAGACAGGAGTAGAAATCAGCTCTCCAGCAGTAATGAGCAAGGGGAAGCTTTGTGTGCTCAAGGCATCCCAAGGGGCCTTATATGAAATGATGGCAGAGATGTAGGCAAGCTTGAGGCTATACAGGGGCATGAAGATCAAGATAAGAAACTTAACTCAATGTAGAAAGCTATAGGGAGCTCCCAGAAGGGTTTTTAAAGAGATGTGGGGAACAGATGCTCTGCATAATTCATAATAGGTACAGAACTGTTTCTTTAACTAGGGCTAGATTTTACCTGTAATGCATAGGTCAGGGTCCTAAAGAGCCATGTTTCATCCCAGAATATAGCTACTTCAGAAACTACCCTCCCTCCTGACATTTTCAGGCCGAGAAGTCAGTGCATAAGATCTTATGTGGCCAGCAGGCTGTGGAGGCAGTAGAAGCACAAAGAAGAATCCCAGAAAGGGGTGCATTGTTGTATAGCTTATAATGAGGGTAAAATATTGTTAATGAAAATAACAGTAGGTGAGAACAGACAAAAGCCTGGATCACATTCCCAGTCTGGTTATCTTAAGCCAGGGAACTATACTTGCAGCATAAAACATAAACCTAAACATGACACCAAGTATCTGCATTCTGATTTTCCAGATGTGTTATGTTTTGCAGATACTGGGGTATAGGTATATTTTCTGGCATCTTGCACAAATCTTGAGCTTTTAACTGTAATAACAAAGGTGAAACTTTTACTGGCTATGCAGCAGCTACCGGAAAGTCATTGCTGATGAGAAGCAAGCAGGTGGCCGGGAGCGGGGACTGACATCACTGGGGTCGTATTTATAACCTCAACAGAAACAAAAGAAACTCCTTCCAGATCCCCTCACTGAGCCCAGAATGATTCTACATCACTCTGCCTTCCTGCCACTGTTACCAGGCCTCTGCTCAGACGTTTCCTCTCTTACATGTGCTCTGCGGAGAGGTTTCTTCAGCAGTGTGGTAGGTGCTGGAGAATCACCACCCCAAGCATGCACCCCTCCAGCTCCTCCATACAGGCCCACTCACAGCCACTTTGGCCTGCAGTTAAATGATGGGTTTTCTACCCCCCAAGCCTCTCATTCTGCCTATTCAGGCTTTCACTCTTTGTTGGTAGGAACAGCAAACATTCATCAGCCCATGAACAGGCAGTCCGGGGCTTTGCCGCCCGGCTCTGCTCAGCCCTTGAGCTCAGGCACAGCAGAGTGCCTTGGCGCGAGGAGGCAGAACAGATACGTCCCATTGCAAAGAAATACTAACTAACCTGCAAAGTAGAGTTGCTTCTTTCCTCAGATACAACACGTGAAGACAGCATATGGTGCTCATCAAAATGTTACTGCCAATTGCATGCTGATTCTCCAGCACATGTTTTAACTGAATGACTGGATTTTGTTTCAGCTCCTACTGCTGTCCCTACCGTTTCCGAAGGCAAACCAGTGGATGAGTGTGATGATGACCAGGCAAACTGTCACAGTGGCACAGGTGATGACTACCAACTGACAGGTGCAGAAACCATCCTCATTCCATTGCAGCTTCATTGTAGCTCATATCCATCACCAGTTACTAGCTAAACGTTTGCACTGATTTAATCACTCAACATAAATGGACATTGGTATGCAGTTCGTATTGTCAGTGCTGTCAAAACATAGGCATCTGCCTTTTACATATGACAATACTTTTGATTGTTTTCTCAGCTATGTAATTTTTGAAGCAAATAATAGTCACTAGCTGGAAGAGAGGGCATTTTTTTTTTGAGCAGGAATTGTGTCTAATCAAATGTCCTAATCAAACTTTCGCTTATTAAGAAAAAAGCTGGACAAACCTTTTGAGGTTTATTGTCTGAGATTGAAGAACTCCAAATGAAATATTGTTTAGGTTCAAGGAACGTATATGTTTCCATACCTAAAATTTAGTATAGGACTCCTATCTCAATCCTAAGCCTTTCCCAGACAGAAACAAAGCAGATTTGTTTCATCAAAGCATGCTCACACATATACTGCCAGAAATATTTCCATGAGCTTCCCCACCAACACTACGTTACAGCCACAGAGGGGCTGATGTTCTTCAAGCTGCCATCACTAGCAGAAAAATAGGAGGGAGAGACATAACATAGTCCCCATCTGGAATGGAGGAAGCTTGCTAGTTTTCATATTCTCCCGCTTTTGCACAGAACCACTGTCCTTCTGAGAGCGCTGACACTACGGTTTTGATCTCTTCTTGGAGGTCACTTGCTCCACAAAGCTCTGGGCCAGTTTGATGAGATCTTCCTGTAGCAGATCTATAAGTCTACAGTAATTGAGCTTATTTTTGGACACAGCGACACAAGTTATTTCATCACTGCTCCCCGGTGTGCTTATCTAATAAATGTTTATTGCTTCTTATATCCATGATATAAAATAGCATTAAAATCTGGCAATAGCTGTCCAAGAGGACATTGGGAGACCTTAGGTAAGAGATTGGCTTTTTGGAAGCAGCCAAGTAGAACATCCGACAGCAGATACAAATGAAAGTGCAGTCTCAGCATCAAAACCTTTCTGAGCTTTGCCAATGTCTCCTGTAAATGCATGTTGCAAACCATAAATTGAAAAACAATCCTTGAGTGGAAAAGACACTGCACGGTCACTGTCACTGCTTTTCAAATCAGCGTCCCAGGCGAATCGTATTCTTTTTGAAAACAGCCATGCAGGGAGTCTGATAAAATAGCCTGTATTGTGTTAAGGTAGCTCAGAAAGCTTTCAGTGTTGCTAAACATTGTAATTTATTTATTTTTCTGAAAGGAAAGAGACAGGTCAGGAAATTCTGGGGCTTCCTGTGAAGCTCTACACCGAGGGCTGGCTTGCAAAGCCCCATAGGTAGAGGCACATTTCACATAGATGGAGGCTGTGTGAGGGGAAGGAGACAGATCTATGCAAGCACCACCCCTGTTCCCCCATAGCCTGCACTTCAGGGAGCTCAGGACTGCATCCCACATGCACCTTAGGGAAAGCTTACTGAGCAGAAGAAAATTCTGGCAAATTTTGCAGGTTGTGCTTAGGGAGCAGTTTATAATCTCTAAGACAAGGGAACACCTGCCAGCCTTCCTGGGCACCAGCTCTTTTGGGGAACTGAACCTATCTCAGTACTAAAATTGAAAATTACTACTTCGGCCTTCTACAAAACTGCAGACACTTTAGTATAATTTATTACTATACCACCTAGAAACCCTGAGCAGTGCGTGCCCAGTTGTGCTGGACACTGTTGAAACACTGCATTGTACGTATGATGTTACGTACAACGCTAAAATGCACGGAAGCGATTTTACCAAGAATTTCTTTGTAAACCTTCTTTTCTTCCTCCAAAACACATTGAAGGCAAGTGTGTAAATCTCGTGGCCCGTTAAGGGTGGCAGGGCAGCGCAGAGGGGATGCCACCCTCCTTTACCCACTCCCAACATGAGTGTGGCACCCTCATTCTCATGGGTACGACAGTTAGAGTCACTTCCCTGATAGCACTTGCACATATGTGAGTATCACAGTGAAGCTTCCTTTGCAATTAACTGTAATTGTGCTGTAGGCCAGATTCCTTCCTGCTCTATTTGGACCCCATACAGAGCTACTCTATTTGCGTGGCTTATAGCATTTCCCATCAGATCGTTCTCACAAACATAAAGCTGATATAGCTTGGGCATTCATTCTCATTGGAAGTCATCATAGTCATCCTTTCTATAGTGCTTTAAAGCACTTGCTTGCTGGAGAAAAGAAAAGCCATTGACTGGTAATCAGCATCCCACTGTGCATTTATAATTGTGCTAATTTACTTTTTGTTTCCTTTATCAATACAAGGCTTGCTTTAAAAAGTCAAGTATTTTTAAAATATCAGTTAGTGAGCTTAGGAGAGGGCCATGACCCCACTCACCTCTTATTCCTCTGCTTGAAGAAGATGACAAAGGGGAAGCCCTTAATTCCTCCTGCTCTTTGAGATAGAAGTGAAACCTGCCTTAGTCTATAGCCTGAAGTCGGGCAATTCCCGTGCACCTCTCTCGTGAGCTGATCTCATAACGCAGCTATGAAACAACTCCCAGCATGGCAGGGGCGGGAGGAACCTCACATCCCTAATATGAGAAACAACGTGCCGTGGGTGAACGCACAAACTGGTGATGGTTAGGAGATGCTAGAGAGATCAGTCACTGACTTCCCCTGTGGTTTGGAGCAAATCACTGTCTATAAAATGAGGATGGCCGCAGGGACGTGGCGAGGATTGATTAGTTGGTGTTTGCAAGGACTCCAAAGATATGCAGCTTTATATAATTATGAGTTCTTGTTTTCTTTTTTGATAAAGGAAACCAGATCTTTAATGTCATATTTTCATGCTTAAGCTCACATACTCAGTTACCTACATGTCTAATAAAGATGGTAATACTTCAGATTTATATATAGGCTATTCCTAATGACTGCTGTGTCCTTTGTTGTGTCCCATGCATCATGATATGCATAATTTCTTTTCCAGGTGGTACTACAGTGCTGAATACAGAAAAGCCAACAGTAATAGACAATACATTACAACCAGGTAAAAAAAAGATTTTTCTTATTGAAAACATAATAAATTCCATACCCAAATTTCATGCCAGAGACAAAATAATGAATTGCAGCACTTCCTGACTTCCTATTCCCTAAAAGTCTCTGAAGTAAAGAAGCATCTGGTCTCTCAGCTCTGTATAGTAAATATTTTATTCCTTTCATCCACATGTAGACACAGCAGAGAACAAGATTTTCTTCTGCATCAGCAAATGCCAAATGCTGACAAAATTAAGCTAAGTTAATCACACAGTGCACTCTGTTTAAATGTGGCATGTCAGTGACACAAAGTGTGTTTGCAAACTCCGGGAAAACAAAAACAGAGCCACACAGGCTCACTCACTATTTATATCCCTGGTTTTACAAAACTCAGACAAGTAAAGTTTGCCAGTTTTCTCCACCAGGGAGCTGGCAGTTTTACAATATTGTTTTCTAGCAAGTTTTCTCAAAATGGGGTTATATAAACTGCTACCATGAACTTGAAAGGGGAAAAACAAGTTGTCACTGGCAGCAGGTCCTTCTTACTTAATCAATAAAATAACTAGCAGCTTTTAAAATCCTTAGTTTGCTGCTTCCACAGCTTTCATACCATTTTTTAATATCCTGTACAATTTACTGGGAGTGGAGGAGAGGATAGATTTGGGCAGAAAACCCAAACTCCAAAAACCATGAGCACCAGCTTAAAATGCTTTGCATTAGTAACTGTGGAGCGGTAAAGAGGTCAGTTTTCGGTTACTCCCATTTCCTCCATTACAGTACAGTCAGGCACAGTCTTGCAAATGATTTATTAACAGGGTGGGTGTTCATCACTGTTTCCTCAACCATGTGACACAATCCGCTTTTGCTTCAAGTAAAAAAAGGGACTCATAATGCAGAAGTTTCCTAAAGGACACTGATGGTGTCCACCTGATTAAGAGCTAGAGCTGACTTATCTCAGACGTTGTTCCCACTCTCAGCCTCTCTGTTCTGATATTGCAGAGGCAAATGCTTTTACTCCCCTCAAAACTTGTTCCCAGGGTCATCCAGTTGGCTTAGTCAGCAGATGCTATTTCTAGCTCTGCCCTGCTTTACGAGCAGAAGGAGATTGTGGAGTAGCGGTGCAATGGGCAGCATGATGGCAGGCTGGCCCGCCTTGGCGGGCACCTCCTCACACTGCCCCTCCACAGCCAGCATCGCCGAAGGGCTTGGAGGGCTGCTGGTCATCCCCAGTTCGGAAAGGGCTGGGGGATGCAAAGGAAGAAAGGAGGCTGCGCAGTGGTTTTAGAGCAAAACATTTTCATTTTTATGTCCGAAATGATCTTTTAGCTTTCTATTTTGCTGAAATGAAGGCAGTTTTAGTTTTTTTAACTATCTTCTTGCATTTAAACAAATCGCGAATTCATAAAGCGCCTCTGTGCAATGCAGTTTTCCTCCCTCCTCCCCAGTGCCAGTTGCATTTGCAGGTTATGTTTAATCCCTCTGGCTTGGGTGGGACTCTCCAATAATAGATTGACTGTTTCTGCCAGAGATTAAGATATCCTCATTTTCTCCCCTTACTTCCCTCCTGCACCACCTTCACTTACTCCATGATGAGCCAAGTTTTTTTTGTCTTAAAGGAGTTTCTGAGGTTCCCTTCAGAGCGTGCCAATGTTACTTCCCTGCATTGTGCTGGTAGGAACTGTTTCCTTCCGGGGAATAAGGGACAACTTCACATCCCAAACTCCAGGCTCCCACATGGCAGCACATTACAAAGATCATAGATAGAGATCAGTCAGATGCTAATAAATAAGAATAAGGTTTCCAGAATCTCCAGTTTAAGACATAAAGGTTTCCAGCTGGTTCATAATCCTTCACTGAAAACCAGCCAGAAAGCTCCCCAAAGGGGGCAGACAGAAATGCCCCTCAGTGTGGGGAAACCCCTCCTGGCATGAAGGTGGTGTAAGCGTTTCCTTCTGCTGAAGGGGCACGGGTGGACCCAGCTGGCACGATGAAGCACATCAGAGCACAAGGCCATGCAGCAGGGAGCGAGAGTCTGCTTCAGCCATGAAAAATGTGGTTTAAACTGGCCTGGAAGCTACAGAGCTGCTCAGGGCCCCCCCCCAGCCCTCAGCTGGCTGAGGATCAGTGCACTCCAGCTCTTTTAACTATTCGCATGCTGAACAAGGTATGCATTTAACACACCAAGGAATGAGCCTTCAGCTTCAGCCTTAATTCCCTCTAAGGGACAGTTTACCATAAGATGCTAATGTACCTTGAGGTAAATGGTGAACTCCAAGCCAAAGGGCTATTCCAGATCAGTTGCAGGGTGCAGGCACCAGCGGGTAACCCTGCATGAGCTACACCCTGCCCATGCTGGCCGCAGCAGCTTGTGCCATGGTGATTCAGGACAGAGATTTAGCAGCCCTCTCAGGAGCAGCACCTGCTGTGGCACAGGTACCTCTGCAAAAGGTGCTAACGCCATGTTTTGCTGTCCTCCTGCCTGCATTCAAGCCTGCAAACACCCCTAATCTTGTTATCCTCGACTAACATGCTTGTGTGTCAAAGCCTGATATTATCCTATTCCAACCAGCTTTCATACACTAAGGGAACAGTTAAGAGCAAATAGCTGGAAAGCCTCCATGTATAAACAAGCTTTCCATCAAGGAGACTTTTACAGTTAATTTCAAGGGGACTGAGTTGTAAGAAAATAAAAAAGAATCATGATTTTAAACTGCTAAAAGTGTTTAAAGGTTTGGATTTTTTTTAAGAGAGTATCTACTTTCCTTCTCAGACTTAAAAAGACTCCTTTAACAAATCTGTCTGTCAAGGTAAATACCTTTCAGACCTCAGTCCTAAGACTCATCAACATCTAGTCTTTTTGAACACATCTTTTTCAGTTCCAAAGGACTATTTGAAATGCTTGACTCTTAGCTATTTACATACAGAGCAAGCTGTTCATTTACATTATGTGCTCTCAGCGTGTAAGCGCAGTCCTTTGTAAAGCAGGCTGTTCAAGAAGTAAAGAATCTTGGTTTTCACACATGTAATAGCTATTTCAGAAAAATATAACTAAGAAATCCTGAGGTTAAAATCTATGCTAAGAAATCATTTAAAGGTAGAATAAGTCTAATTCCCATTTAGTGTAGGACAACTTTGCATCAATAAAGGGATATTAAAGCAGTTAAATTATCATTTACTATCATTTAAGGTAATGCTGTGCTGCCAGCATAAGTGATATAAAAAGGTGAAATGCAAATACAAATCAGACCTAGTATACTACTTTGAAGTGGTCCAAATTATGTTTGTAATTTGCCATTTTAATGTTGATTTACCCTTTGGCAAGAGCATCCTATAGAGAATTTTCATAGCATCTTTAATGCCACCATGCTCCTTCTTCCTTCTTGTTGGAGGAGTTATAAAAATATGTCAAAGTCTGTGTGCCACAAAAGATTAATGGACTTGCAAGAAACTCACTCAACTAGATTTTCAAATGACTTTCTTGTTCATGTGCAGTAATGGTTCCAGCTGTGAGCAAGATGTGGTGGAGAAGTACAGCTGTTGGTTATTTTTTGAGAGGATAAATCTGTTTTAATTCAGTATCACGTATCCTACGTTTTGAAAAAGGCATATGGGATTTCGTCACACCTCCCTCTCAGATTCTCATCTGAACTGCTGCTATTTGGCTACATAATAGCTGGTGTTCTTCATCCTCTCAATACACACAAACCCGGAGATCAATCACCTATTGGCAGGAGAATTTTCCTAGCAGGGGAATGGGCCAGCGCTGCAGAGGGAGCCCACCAAATGCTACTCATCCCTACTTTCCTTCCCTCCACCAGAGCTGCCAAGCTATAGTTCAAGGACAAAGAAGAGGACAGATTGCCTGTAGTTTACTGTGAGCTACTGTGTCAGCCCCCTGGGATCTTTAATAGAAGTGTTGAACTATTCTGTCTTTTGCTGGGGCAGATCCATTGGCCATGCAACTAATGAGCCTATCCTGATGCTACAAGTGTCTCTTATTAATTGGCTAGCAGGTCTATTTTTTCTTTTTATGGGTCCCTGGGAGAAGCATTGGAAGAGACATAAGAATAGACCATAGAGATGGCATGTTTAAGGAGCCCATAAAATAAGAGCACTCTAAAATGCCTTGCCTTTGACCTTCAATCCCATTGCTGTGATTGTCTAAGGAATATATTAACACAATCACTTTTAAGAAAACAGTAGGAACCTAGCAAGAAATCGCTAATGGAGAGCAGGTTACTGGTGAAATCCTGCTCAATTTCAAGGAGATTCTCATTGATTTCTGCATGGAAAAGAAGTTCATTTTTTATGCTACACCATGCTGTCTGTGAGACCAAGGAACACAGGCATGGCCAAAGCGTATCAGCCTTGGGCTCTTTGCCAATTTCCCGGACTATATATTTCAAATGAAAGTGTAAGAAATTCTTTATTAGATGGTGCTGTGAAATTTAGCTCCTCTTTGAAACTCTCCTTCTAATACCAATGTTCAGAGCTGGCTTCAGACCACAAAGTAAAAGACTTTTGTCACTCCCTGCACTTTAGAATTAACAATTAAATTCTGGATGTTTTCCTTATCCATTTCAGTGTCCAGTTCTCTTCGAATTGTGTTCAGCCCTAGCAGCATTTGAGGGAAGCAAGTATCACATCGTATGAGAATTTTTTTTCCTTTGATCCGCATTGAACTTCACTGGATATCTCACAGTTCTCAGGCTATGAAATCGAGAAAACAGAATATTGTAATCTCCCTTCTCTAGATTCTTCACCCATTTGCATACTTCTCCTGTGTCTTCTGCTATTTATTTTTATTCAGAGTTGAACAATACCAGTCTTTTCAATCTCTTTGTGCTATGTGCTCATTTATGCTGTGTGATATCTTCAGATTGATGTGATCTATCTACCACTGTTCTCCTTTCTTGCGGTTTGAATACCACACAGGCTATCACTAGCTTTGCATGATATAATCCTTTGGGATTAATAAGATTAATTTTGTTTTACACTTTCTAAGACCTTTTCTAAAGTTCTGTTTCATGGCTCTGATGTCAAAGCCATGCAATATAGCTCTCCCTAGGCCTCCTTGACAATGAAAGGCTATTTTTCACGAACTTAAAATCCTTTAATTCATTTCTATGTCACTCTGTTTCTTTAAAAACTTCCCTTGATTTTCAGATGTCCCCTTTTGGGCAAGATGTCTTTGATCATGGTCCCATTGTCTAGGAAAAAAACCCATATCCTGAAGAAAGAAACATAATGGATTGCCTTTTTGCACTCATCTGCACACAGGCTGAGTTCTGCTTCTTCAACATTTTGAGCCCAAAGAGAGATCACTCACCATGATCTGCCCCTTTCCTAGAAAGCGCTAGGGTCCTCCAGGAAACATGTTTTCTCCACATTGAATTCCTGTGCCAGACGTTATCTGTTTAATTCATTTGTTGCCAGCTAGGATGCCGTATTCGTGACAATGTGGAGTAGACCCCTCTGGAGGCCAGCAGGAGGGAGGGTGGCGGCGGGTGGGATGGGGCAGATGAAAGGCAGGAGCAAAGCATGAGGGCTCAGGGTAGGGAGATGCCACAGCACAGCCCAGGTACTGATGGGCACAGGAGAGGGGCAGGAGCTGCCATGTGCTCAGAACTCTCTGCTGACAGAAAGAAATTTTCCAGGGGCCAGAGGGGAGAGGGCACAGTGGCTGGAATGCAGGAATCCAGTGACTTGAGTTAAAACTGGGTCTGGGGGCAAGGCCCCGCCAGACAAGGACACAGCAGGCAAGGAGGGAATGATAGATGAACTCTTTTTCTATCCATTCTGTCTCAACCTACTCACCTGAGGCTTTCTCTGTGTTGATAAAATGATTGTTCTTGTCTACTTTTTATTAAAATCTGGGTTGTGAGTTCAAAAGTATTTCCAGTCTTCCCTGGGTAGCTGACTACATGGAGGAGGTTGTTGCCTCTTCAGACTGGAAGAGCTCCACCTCAAAGGTCTGGCCGATCACAGGTCCCAACACACTTCCCCTGTTTCTCCATACTTTCCCACAATAAACAAAACACATTCTACGGGATGCATTATCTTTCCTGGCTTTTTTTTATAATGGGCAAGAAAGCAAAAGAACACAATTCTTCCCCCAGAGCTGATATTGATGGGAGCACAGCTTTGTTCTTAGTTCATACTTGCACAAAGTATCTCATTAAAGTAAAGCTAAGTTATTCCTTTAATAACGCGTGAGTCATGCCTGAGAAAAGACTTCAGGATTTGGTCACATTGCTGTGGAAAGGGTATTGCTCTACTGGGAGTTGTCATTGCTCAAGGTAAAGGTTCATACCAATGGGGTAGGAACCAAAAGCCCAAAAGATTTCAAACTGCTTCTGAAAATAAGAAATGCAAGGGATTTATATGCTATCTCTGTATAATCTTTCCATTCAAATTCCAAGTTCTATTGAAGAAAATAAGCTACTATGTATTAAACCTTTGGGCAGAATTGAAGAGAAGCTGAAAACAAGATATGATCTCATCCTGCCCATAATACCAGACTTCCCTTGTTTTACGTGGAGCTTGTTTTGAAGCTTATTTTGAGTTCATTTGGCAATCAGCCACATTTGTCCCTTTTCCATCTCAATTTGTCCATTTCAATGCTGCCATCTTGTGGGCCTACTTAAGTGTCTGGAAGATGCTGAAATAAGTTCCTTACTGAAGCCACGCACTATACATTTCACCAGAAATCCTTTCCTGCCAAGGACATTCCATTAGTGTTTCTGCCCTTTCTTATTTCTGTCCAAATCTTACTGTGAGTTGTTACAAAATGTTGCACAATTACAGTACAAATAGATATTATCAACCAGCAAATATATCTGATAAGTAAGCCAGAGCTTTCTTTTTGAGTCATACATCTCATACTGTAACAGTACAGTTACCAGCTAACATGGGCAAATCAGAAGAATTAATCTAACCACAAAAAAGTCCTAAAATATGGGTCATAAAGAGACAAGAAACAACCACATCATTTACTAGAAATAGTCATTTTTCATCTGTTTCCCAGCAGGGCTTCTCAGAGTTTCAAGTAGGAACGGCTCTGTTAATGGTCACACGTATGCATTTGATTTTGAAGTACAAAATCTGAATTATGCA